TCAATTAAGAATTCGTTGCGTGGTACACCATGAGTAAAATATTGACATTAAATTATTGAAAATAAAAAAATGGTTTTCTTAAGTTTGTGTTTTGTATAAAATACTATTTTAATATTAGAAATAGAGGAAACCAGGAAAACTAAAAATCTCATATCAAAAAAAATAACCGTTTTTTTATTGGACACTAAATATTAAAGGTTTTTTTCAATCGTAACTTATCTGTTGACTGCCCTGAAACATAAATAAGAACACACAAAGTATAAAATGCACAAAATAAGCTGCGGTATAAAAAAGTACAGAAAATTAGGTTTTTGTTTCGCAACTTTTTGGTTTTTGTACCCTTTACTCGTAGAGTAAAAGGGTATATTAGATTCGTTGAAAAGTATGTAACAAGTAGAAGGAAGCGTTTCTGACCCTATAAAGTATATATATTCTTGATCATTATCAATAGCGAAGACGATTGAGCCATGTCCGTCTGACCGTCTGTATGTATGAACGCTGAGATCTCAGGAACTATAAGAGATAGAAAGTTAAGATTAAGCATGAAGATTCTTGAAGTTACTATGCAGCGCACTCCGGCCACGCCAAATCTAACGTCCACAAACTGGCGAAAACTGTGGCGTCCATAATATTATTACTAACGCCTTCGTTTTACCTTGCATAACTCAATATCCATCGTTTTACGAAAGATTTTTCAAATCGGAACATTATTTCGATACTTATGAAGAAATTTAGGTTATAAAGCCCCACATGGGCAGGGACGTCACTATCAGTCACTCAACAGGCTTTCTCCGACAATACGTAATTTCAACTAGCAAAATGAATATTTTAAAAGTGCGTAAAACAGTAACGGGTATCTCATAGTCGCGGCACTCGACAATAGCGTTTCTTCTTGTTATATTTAAGAAATTAAATTAAATATTAAATATGTTAATATTAATATCCTAAAATATCGAGTTTAAATCTTTGAGCTTAGTCAAAATAACGATTTCAATTTTCAATCTTCGGCTGCACGAAATAAGCTGCTAGCACTGTGCATAAGTAATTTTTGTAGTCTAAGTCATACAAAGGGTGGGATATTAGTCAGTCACATACAGTCACAGTCAGTAACTGAGGGTTCAAGTAGAGACGCTTAATTCAGAGTAGTTATTTGTTTTGGTAGAAAAGCTAGCCAGCAGGACTCTGCTAACGTCAAACATTAGACCTTGTTCCCCAAAGTTATTTTCCTTGTAGTTTGGGTTCTCCTTTTGCTCTAATGAATGCTTAATAGCAATATAAGGTCGCTGGAAACCGCATTATTGGGACTACTCCAGAAATCAAAACTATTGGTAGGAGTTGCGGGAGTTAGTTTATGCGAAAATGACTTAATTTTACTAAATGGACGCACGTTTTTTTCAACAGATTTTTGTAATAAAGTTGTGTAATAGAATAAAGGCCACACGGCACGGCAAACGAACTCCCTGTCGAGCAGCAGTGCGATCTCGGTTAATGGTCTGCTTTTTGGGTGGATAGATATGTAAAGGGATGGTTTATCACAAGTCTGCGTTTGTCCAATGCCACGAACGTTGCATACGATGGCTTGGGCGCACGTGCGACTTGTTCAATAGAACAAATCTTTGCTTTGAGCACGTGCACTGGATTTTACATAATCAAAAACCGAGAACTGCACAAACATAAGTACATGAGCTCATGTACAAAACATCCACGTTAGTCGAGCTATCATGCCTCTCGTCCCGTCGAAAAACATGAACCACCTGAACTCAAACTCAAACTGACTGCTAGAGCTTCTGTTTACTGAAAAGATAGATTTTGACTTTTACAAATTTTCGCACAGAACAGAGTCAGCATCCCTTAGGGCTTAGTTTGTGATAATAAAAAAACCTTAAGGGGCTTAGGTAAAGGTCTGGTTGCCAGCATCGCCGCAGGTATTTCCACAAATTAAAGCACGCAGACCTTGTCATTTGACACCACTTGGTAATCCAAACGACTCAGGTTTATGTGGATTCACCCCAGTGTGCCAGCAGACTTAGTAACAGGCAACCAAAAACGAATATTTATATATTTAAAATGGCGTATAAAGTCTCAGTAGCATAATACCAGAGCTTTATACATGGGATATACTAAAGTTTGGACAAAATATTGTATGATTACTTTATAAAATCTGCATAATATATTATAACAAAAATAAATATATTATATAGTCGAGTGCCTCGACTATAAGATACTCGTTACTCTACTCTCTATACAATTTAAAAATATTCATTTTGCTAGTGGAAATTCACAAAGCTTTAGAAAAAGCATGTTGAGTAACTTATGGTGATGTTTATGTGAGACCTTATAACCTACATTTCTAAAAGTCAAACGAAGACGCGTTACAGTCGGCGTGGCTACATGAAAATACCATTTTGAGCTGCGCTGATATCTCAAGAATATGTATGTCTAATCCGAACTCTGGGTCTTAGAGTTTTGAGATAAGCGTTTATGGTTTTCTAGGTTTTGTGGGGGGTTGAGTGGCCGTGGACAAATTATGAAAAAATAATTCGCATTGTCCACTTTATCACTATTAGTTACCGAGATCCCAGAGTTTCTACGAAAAGCGAAAACCGTCTTTCGAGCTTAGTGGGCGTAAGTGTGGGCGTGGCCGGAAAGTGGTTTCACCTTAAGATGCGCGGAAATCTCACTAGTATACGTTTATACGTAATCCCAACTTTCTAGCTCTAAATTGTTCTGAGATTTCAGCGCTTTAAGTTTTTCAATTTTTGGGCGTTATAGTACACGTTGCAGAATGCTAAGATCCTGAGATCTCAGCGCTCATATGGACAGACGGATTTACGGACGGACGGACAGGCGAACATGGCTTAATCGATCTCGTCAAAAACGGTTCCTTCTACCTGTCACACACTTTTCAACGAATCTACTATAACCATTTGCTCTACGAGTAACGGGTATACAAATAAATTATTTGGCGGTTCAGCCATATTAGAGCAAAAAAATTCAACGGGCTCCAGCATTGAGGGGCATATGTAAAAAGTATGTATGAATGCGTGTTACTGAAAAATTCGTGTTCCTTGTTCGTCACTTAAAATTGTTGATATCAAATATTGCTATAAAAACAAATAATTTTTTACCCGTCACTTATGAAGTATCATTACCCACGTGAATTAAGCCTTCTAAGCTATCAGTATGATAACGTTTCTTTCACTCCTGAAACATTTCTATAGCGTTAATCGTAGAGTAATTCGGTATAATGTACTGATTCTAACTATGTAACAGGTAGAAGAATGCTTTTCTGACCCCATAAGCAATATACAAGCATATATATTTGCACGTCTGTTCGTCCGTCTGAAAATATGTATTCGTATAAATGGTATACTTTAAGAGATGGAGAGTAAATAAAAACATCGAGACCTCATAAAGTAAAAGAACTAAAGAGCATGCATATTCTGGATATGCAGCCACAGCGCAAAGGCGTTTCAGCACCCGGCCACGGCTCAAAATAACGTAACGTCAGTCTGATCACTGAAATCTTGGAAACTATAAAAGATCAAAGTTGGAATTATCTACTGTGTGGCCTCTTTTGTCTAAAAACTGCGATAAACTGAATCGTCAATAATATTAGGATTTATGTTTTGATTTTTGACAATACATATTGTTATACCAAAAATGTTGCAAATCGGAAACTACTTATGTAATTTATTGACAAAATTACGTTATTGGACTGAAATTTGAATTTACTTTACCATTAGCTATTAAATATGCTATATATGGTTCGAGCTATGGCGAAAATTGTACACTGCGTGCATTTCCATAGACACTGTCAAAATTTAAAATTTTAAAAAATAACTAAATTGTTGTAGCCCACGAAATTATCCTTATCGCTTTATGTTTCTACCCGTATAATGCACTCGTTGAAAATTATGTAACAGGCAGAAGAAAGCGTTTACGACCCTATAATATATATACATATTTAACCAGAATCAACCGCTTAACAATTTAGTCGGTCTGTCCGCCCGTCCATGTTGATCGCGTAGATCTATGTCTATTGACTATGACTATGTTTAAAAAATGTCATCTAAAAAGTTAAACTTAATTTGAACTAAAAATATAATTTATTAACTTTGCTATATAAGAGTGTATTTAGCCTTTGGTTTCGTTTGGCTTCAAAATACGAATGCTAAATATGAGTAAAGTAGAGTGCCTTATTGTAAGAAGTGTCTAATACAGTTTAAAATATTTAAATCTACATCCAGAAGAGACATGCTTGATGAGCGGATTCGGCCGCGCCTTCTTTAAGTAAAAAAAATTGATAGCGCTGAGATCCCGTTGGCCTAAAAACTTAAAAATTGTGATTACACCTACATTTTGATATAAAAAAACTTGCAATCAGATTTTTAAAAATTTATTAAGAAAATCGAAGTTAGTTAAGATCGTCTTTTGCCGCTATTTCATTAAATTTGAAATTGGTGAACAGCGTATAAAATCTCTGATACTCCGGAACAGGACTATTTAGTTCCTTTCCGGTTTTTTTTTGTTTACCCTCTTAGTTTTACACAGCACTTTAAATGGAAGATGTCAGGATTCGCACTCCAGCAAAAATCTACTGACTCCGTCCTGAAAAATGGCTGCAAGACAAGAGATGAGCCATACGCAAGCTCGGGGAAACTACTCTCTGGTCATGAGAGACAAGAACGCCCTTTTTGCCTGCTAATGTGTTGCTGCGCAATAGAGAAACATAAACTGCAAATCAAGTAGAGAGTATAGCTATGGAACAACTACAGTCACAGGCTTAGTTCGCAGACCTCTCGAGGCAGACGGCGTCACCACGCCCCGTCATGCGATTGGTCCTTGCTTCGTGTATAAAAAATATTAATACGAATTTGCGTTTAAAATATATGAGAGCGTTGTTCCGACATATTTGACAGTAAGGGATGGTTCTGCGTTTTAAGCCCTGGCATTGGATATGGATTGTATTTTGAGGGCCGCGAATAGGAGATTTTCATCGCATTGCCGTAAAAAAACTGAGTTCAAACACGGAATGAGATGAAAATATAATCCGCGTTTAAGAAGAATACAAGTGACAGTTTCACGCATATCGATTAAATGGTATGGTCTCGGCAGCAATAATCCGGGTCCTCTATACAACAGCATGCCACATCCCAACAGCAGGGACTACGACGGCGACGTTGTGCAGGATGCAGCATCCCCGTGAGTCGAGACCCCGACCCAATACCATCATTCTTTTATGTGCTCTCATTTTGGTCACATCAACTTTCCAGGAACTTAATTTATTGTTTGCTACCTGTATTTCAATTCCTTGAAATCAAAACTACGTAAATCTATCGGTATATATTATGAGGGGCGATGGGCAATATTAATGTTAATATTGATTTTTAAACAAAAATAATGAAAATTAAAAATTATACAAAAATTGCATACAAAATAAGGGCCTAAAACCTTTATTGAGCAAATTATAAATTTTAGAAATACTTCATATAAAAAATGCCATATGGAAGTTAAACTTAATTAATTATTATTTACTTTAAAAAAACTAGCTCAAATATATAATATGTTTTAAATTATAAAATGTCCTTTAACTGATTAATGTCCTACGTATTTCCTTTTCCATTAAGGCCACGTCATTATACCCATTATTCGTAGAGTGAAAATATGTTAAAAATAATTTTATTTAATGTCCATAAATGGCAATTAGAAAATACAAAATCAAATAATATTCAAAATGTTTAATTTAATTTTACTATTTAGTGCACATACAAAAAAAACTATTGGTATGAATTGTGGAAAGGAACAAAAACTTAATATTTCATATTTTTTAATTTTCAGATTTAAGGTTTAGCAGCCAGCTATGACTATTCCAATTTCAAAGGTTAAGATGTTGGTTTACAGTAAAATAGTTTTTAGTCACTACCTATTTATTTACCAAAATTTTTTATATGGGAAAATCATTTTCCAAGGTACTAACAAATTTTTACACAGTTATAATGTAAGTAATATTGTATACTGCAAAACTTTCAGATGACATAATTATTTTTAATTTTGTTCTTTTTGTTCTTTTGTTTTTGCTCCTTATTTTCTATAAATTTCACTCAACAGCTTTTTTTGTGGATAAACTTTATATAGTTGCAAAAATCGAGAAATGAACGCAATATAATCGGCGAATGTAAAGAACAAGTAATTTGCATTATTATTGAAAGTCGCGTGCACAACTTAATTTTAGGGAAAGAGCGGGGAAGGGTGGAAGTTAAGAGTTAAGTGTTAAGTGTGCATAAGATAATAGTATACATAGAATGTCCAGTCAGAATTAACTCTTACCTTGCTGCACGCTAGCCCTAATATTTTCTGGTCTCGGCCGCCGGTAAATACAACATTGAATAAGTTGCATACTATGATTAAAACCGCAACGGCAAACTAATTCATTGTGTTTTTCAGAAACGTCAACATGGCATGATAACAAAGTTAAATTTATTGCGACAAATTGCAGAGGTCAACGCGATGAGCACGCACACCATTCAAGTCAGGAACTCAGCAAATTTTGGCACTTGGTTACAAATTGGCTCTTAATAGGTCAATCGCGTTACTTGATTCCTTGATACTAGTCACTGGCCCATAACTCGATCTACTAGAGGCGACATGCAACCATATTCGCAAAAAGTGTAACAATGAGGTCGCTGAGGCAGGTACCAAAAATTATGTTTTTCTTATTCTTTTTTACTAATCGGTTTCCGTTCCCATAACATGATTTGTTATCCATTAAATGCCGAAAACTGAGACGTCCATGACGAACTACGATTGAAACTGTTTAGCACAACGTCTAACTTTAACTCTGGTCAAATGTCGGGCATTTCCGAAATACGAAAGCCGAAAATGTCAAAATAAAGTTTTTCTAACCCGAACAACTAGCAATCCTAATACATAATCGGTATGAATACCCAAATTTAACTTTAAAGACTGAAGGATGGAAAGAGGGACAAAATAAAGTTTTTCTAAGCCAAAAACTAATATTAATCGGTACCTGATCTTTACGGCAATCTGGCGTTTATATAAGATAAAGTATAAGATATATGGTCTTAAATGATTGGTGGTCCCCAGCCAATTGAAAAAATCTTTTACTAACAGAGATATCTTTAAGACAGAAATGACGTTTTTCTCGTTGTTCTTCATTATTTTGAAAATCGTTAACAGAGTAAGTCGCCTCGACCATTCGAAGCAAACCTTATTACTTAACGATTGCAGAGATATGTGGCCGCCACAGAACAGCCTCTATGCCCTCGTATAAATTCTTTTAGAAGCAACACAACATAATAAAAATGGCGTTGACTTCACCATAAGACGAATTCTATATAAATGGACTAATCTACTAACCCTTAAAAAAATACCTTTAGGAAGGTTTAGAAGTATTAGGTAGGAGGCTCTTGGTATTGGAGAAAGTCAAGTGTACTGCACAAAAATTGAAAAAAGCAATCTTACTGGAATTTAGGTTCAACATGAACTTCAATTCCACTGAAAAAAAGTAAAAGCTTTAGCCCGTTAAGGTGCGGCTCCTTGGAGATATGGTGAAAACAGAAACATATCCATCCTTTATGAAGCAACGTTGGTGAGCGAACGACGATGGTAGTTGCTCAGCCAGATAAATACAAAAAAAGGCCAATCTTCTGATCCAAGCCCAATGCTGGAGCTGGACGAGGTAACGGAGTCTAGACTGTATATATATATATTTATATATATTTTGCAGAGCTAAAAAGAAGATTTAACTTTTCTCGGCCATCCGCTTTTGTATTGTTCTGGTTTCTGTTGCTTAATCAGTAGTTTTGACCGTCATTTGATTACCGCAGTTAGCGAATGTTATCCTTAAAATAAGAGCTGTAACTTGAATAACGGCATAATTCATAATTCATTGGTTTTGAGGAATATAATTGTAGAACAGTTTCAGGCATGTGATGTTACTACCCTTTTAATGCATTATAAATGAAATATGGTAATGAGTTGTGGAGTAATGTTCCTATTTAAAAACTGAACTCCTAATATTATAGACGCCCACGGATTTTTTGCAGACGTTGGAGCGGGCGTGGCTGGAAGCTCATCCCAGTTATCAAGCACTTATACTTCCTTAAATCTTAGCGTTCGGACAGAGGTACTGACAGACGGAGTGATAGATGCACGGACAGACTGATGAATCCTGTTAAATATTTTTGAACGAATAAATTGTAATACTAACGTTGATGTAGTATAAGTAGTACAAACAAATGGGCCAACCCGCACAGGTTAAATCAGTTCGCGGGGTAATAACTAATAGCTAAAACATACAGAAAGTTAGTGTCGATAGAAGGAAACAAATTCTTTAACTCTACAAAGGTATGGTAAAATTATATTTTTCAAGACAGGGATGGATGTTGAAATGTTTATTATATAGGGTGTATATGAAATAGGATGTTGCACTTACAACAACTAAGACGAAAAGATCGTGCAGCGTAAAACAAAAAAAATTAGGTGAAGCCCTAAAGGGCACATTATCGCTTATCTGTAATTTAAATCGTTGTTGTGGAAGAAAGAAGAAGAAATGCCATTTAACTAATTTAAAACAAGAGGTCGGGTGCCGCGACTGTAAGATACCCGTTACTGTTTTACAAAATTTTAAAATATTATTTTGCTAGTGGAAATTCACATGGCGCCACCTATTGTCAGAGGAAGCATGTTGAGTAACTGCTTTTTCGGTCTTTCGGGTTTTGTGGGCGTGTCTTTATCGGAAAAAAACACATCGCATTGGGAGCATCATAAAAATATACATGTTTAAGCCGAACTTTCTATCTCTTATAGTTACCAAGATATCAGCTTTTCTAGAAAATCCGAAAACCGTCTTTTGAGCCTTGGGGGCGTATGGGTGGGTGTATCCGGATAGTAGTACCACTATAAGATGCGCTGGCTGGAAAAAAACACATTGCATTGGAAGGATCATAAAAACCTACATGCTTAATCCAAACTTTCTATCTCTTATAGTTACCGAGATATCAGCTTTTCTAGAAAATGCAAAACTTCTTTTGAGCTTGGTGGGCGTATGGGTGGGTGTGGATAATAGTACCACTATAAGATGCGCTAGCTTCTAAATATTATGCTTTCTGAATTTCAACTTTCTAGCTCCAATTGAGTGGGCGTGGTAGGATGATGTAATAAACTTGCGCTGCGTAGGGACCTCAAGAATCTTCATGGTTAATCTCAATTTTGTATCTCTTATAGTTCCTGAGATCTCAGCGTTAATACGGACAGCAGGACAGACGGACAGACAGACGGACATGGTTTTACTCTACGAGTAACGGGTATAAATATAATAAATAAGAATCAAAACTGATAATAATGTCACTGCACATGTAAGGCCATATGACCGCAATTTTTAATAAAGTGTGGAATAATTTTCCAAATTACAAAATTATGGTAAATTGATATTATACGGACGGACAAATGGACATTAACTTGGAGTTTTGTAAGTAACGTGTATCTTATACTGAAAACACCACCTTCATATAATTTATGTTGCATACATACATATGTCGAAGGACTCGACTAGGTAGATATAATATATAATATTATTGTTTTTGTCTAATTGACTTTGATAATTATCAGTGTCTTTTATGTCACCAAGTCTAGTTTTGCAGTCTTGCTAGTGTTTATATTAATTTAATTTGATGGACATTTGTTCAAGCTCTGAGTAACTTGTCATGCTCGTATGGTCTTATTTGACTGTATACCAAAGGGCGATTTAAAAGCCTAACTCAGTTGTATTTAACAGATTGGAGGAATAGTTTTTGATGCTATAAAGTAAAGTACGCTATAAAGTAAGTATTGAATATCAGGATCAATAGCCAAGTCCGTCCGTCTGCAAGCATATACAAAGTTGGGTTTAAGCATATATAAGATTTAGCATGTATATTCTTAAGTTGCCTACGCAGCGCAACTATAGCGACCTGATATGCCTACTTTAAAGTCCACAAAACACGAAAAACTCTGAGATCTCAGGAACTATAAGAGCGAGAAAGTATGAATTTAACATGTATAATCTTAAGATGGCAACGCAACTTTAAGTTGCGCCCACACCCTCTCTCAAGCACACAAAGTGCGAAAAACTATTTATAAAGAGCTAAAAAATTAAGAATTAGCAATGAAGATTGGGCTGTAGCAGCTAGGGCCTTTAACTTAAGTTAAACAATGTATGCTTATGTCTAATTAATCTTTAATTGTACATTTATATGTGGTGAAAACTATTTTCGTATAGGTTTGAAATTAAGAGTAGTAGAATATTTTCAATGTTTTAAAGAGTAGGACTTAAATGGAGGTTGTAGGGTCAGTGTTCCCTAAAGAGTTACAAGTGGAAAGCAGGTGTTGTAGTGATATGTCAACGTTGTGGTTTGGGCGTGATCGAGGTAGTGTAGGTGTTTGTTTGATGTCCTAGCAAAATAGACATGCGTTTGTTTTAGAAGATGTGGTAGTTGTTAAATAGAATTTCGTTAATTGTTTGATTCCAAATAGAAGTTTCGGAGATTTAAGATAGGCTTTTAGTGTGGCGTTCATTTTAATATATTTTAGTATAAATTTCACTGTAAGGTTTTATATAGTTTTGTGTGGTTATTTTGTTTTGATTTGTTTTTTGCAAGGGAGTTGCTTTGAGTGCAGTGCTTCTGGTCTCCCACCCAAACCATAATTCTCTCATTTTTATAGGTTTAAAAAGGCTCTACGATCGCTAGAAGCTCTGTTGAGAAAACTGTGGAGAAGTGGAATAAAATGTTCTGTTTAACGGAATCAAATTTTTGGAGTTGCGTTCTTTTTGTTCAAATTTTTAAGCGCTGTATGAATTCTTCAATAGCTAACGTTTTGCAGCTCGAAGAAATTTCGGCCACGCCATTGTAACGCTTACAAATCTCGAGAAACTATGGCGTGTTTAGAGTAAAGGATAATATTGCTTTAAGTGCATTGCTGCTTGGACATTAATTTCAAAATCAGTTGCTTCGTGGGGAGACGAATGATGTGTTTTTGAATCAGGAGTAAATCATTAGATTCTTATTAAAGATAAAAGAAGACATACACTATAATTTAATGGACACCCCAGTTTTCCGTGGTTTGTGGATGCTGAACTTGCGCTGCGTATGGACCTCAAGAATCTGGCTGCTTAATCTCAACCCTGAATCTCTTATAGTTTCTGAGATCTCAGCGTTGATACGGACAAACGGACGGACGGATAGACAGTCAAGCGGATATTGCTCAATCGATTTTGTTATTGATATTAATCAAGAATATAAAAACTTTATTGGGTCGGAATCGCTTCCTTTTACCTGTTACATACTTTTCAACGAATCTAGTATAGCCTTTAACTCTACTAGTAACGGGTATAAAAACGTAATCTATAGGTAGAGAAACAAGAATCTTCAGCCAATTTCATTATGTTTTTCTAAAAACTATACACTTTCCTTTTGTTGGCTTATCAAATATTTCGGCAAACTATTTATAAAGAGCTAAAAAATTAAGAATTAGCAATGAAGATTGGGCTGTAGCAGCTAGGGCCTTTAACTTAAGTTAAACAATGTATGCTTATGTCTAATTAATCATTAATTGTACATTTATATGTGGTGAAAACTATTTTCGTATAGGTTTGAAATTAAGAGTAGTAGAATATTTTCAATGTTTTAAAGAGTAGGACTTAAATGGAGGTTGTAGGGTCAGTGTTCCCTAAAGAGTTACAAGTGGAAAGCAGGTGTTGTAGTGATATGTCAACGTTGTGGTTTGGGCGTGATCGAGGTAGTGTAGGTGTTTGTTTGATGTCCTAGCAAAATAGACATGCGTTTGTTTTTAGAAGATGTGGTAGTTGTTAAATAGAATTTCGTTAATTGTTTGATTCCAAATAGAAGTTTCGGAGATTTAAGATAGGCTTTTAGTGTGGCGTTCATTTTAATATATTTTTAGTATAAATTTCACTGTAAGGTTTTATATAGTTTTGTGTGGTTATTTTGTT